TGGCCGGGGGTGGCCGGGGGTGTGGTGACGTGGTTAGGGGCGGGGTGGCCTGTGGCAGGGCAGCCCGCTCTGTCACCGCCCCCCACGCCAACAGCCAACACTCTTATGCGCCTGAATTATCAACGACGAAAAGGCGAGGGCCCCATATGCAAGGCGGAGGGAGGGAGGCCTTGGTGGTGTGTGCGAAGGTGAACTCTTGCTAGTGGTTGAGTGTGTGGCGTGTGCGAATGGGGGTGTCTTTGTGTGTATGGTGTGTGCTGGAGTGTCGGAGAGGCCGCGCGCGGGAGAGCACCGCTGGAGTGCGCCATCGTGTTTTACGGGCCACTAGTGTAGCTCAACGAGACGTGCCTGGCCGGGCCGGCCTATAGCTCGCGTTGTTAATTAGCGCACTGAGTGGGAGGCGGATCCGTCATCCGAATTATCGCCGACTAGGCCCCCTCCCCCTTCTCCCCTTTATTTTCTGGCACAACAGCCCCCCTGTCCCATTCCTTTGTGCCATTTCTAATCCAATGCCCGGCTCGCAGCCGTGGTGGTGGTGTTGATGCTGACGGAGTCCCCATGACTCTGTGAATTCCAAATTCCGGGAACGCCGTCGGGAGTCCGCTGATGTCGCAGCAAAATAGTTTTGGTTGTTCGGTCCGGCGAGAGAAGGGAAGGGTGACTCGGGTGGAGCCGAGCCGATCGGCGGCGAGGCGGGCGAGGCGAAAAGCGCCGCGCTTGTCTTAAACTTATCGCATTTTCGAGCCACACAGGAAAACAGTAAAATGTATTTTCATTTTCGGGGATCGCGAAAGCTTTGAGGAACTCCATTGCTTACAAGGAAGGATTTTGAGGATTGGTCATCAAAAATGAGGGAATACCCCACATTTATTGAGGAAACATCCTCAAAATCTAAGTAGTTTTTATTGAATTAAATGAGTTCCTAGAAATTTTCCCTTTCTCCTGAAAAATAAAAATATCAGACAGTCTTTTTACCGTGAAACAGCCCCCGGCTTCCTTGATGCTTTCATTTACTCATTTACAGTTTTTGGCTATGCCGGTTGGGGTCCGCCGTTTTAGTCCGCAGCTGCGCGAGTCGAGTACCGCTCAAGTAATAGCCAGCCCCGTTTGCCCACCACCTGATGTCTTGATCTGGCGATTAGCAATAAGTAATCGCTCTGGTGGGTGAAGATGAGATGAGATATGCCCAGCCCTCTCGATAAAGGACACGCACAAATTAATAATGTTCTGGCACTGGGCCTCAAACTTTTGAAAACAAGGTGCGTGTACTTGTCTTGAGGGCGAAAATATGGGTTGGAGTATAAACCTTTTGTCTTAATGCTAATCCCTAAATCAAGAACATATTTTTTTGGGTGGAAGCAGCGCAACCGCTGCCTGACATTGCCGTCAAACTAAGGGCGTTTCCAGCGATCGACACAAAGTGCTATAGCAATTCTATAGAAGGAGAGCTTCACTTTTAAATCGGAAACCAACTGATTTAAAATAGTGTGTCAATTTGATTTAAAATTCTCGGTGGTGTCTATAACTTACTGTAGAATGTTTAGCTCGACGAAAACAGAATTACTGAACTCACACGTTGAGCCCCATAGGGGGCGGTTCCTTTACATAATACTGTGGGATAAGAGTGACACGACAAAGCACACACAAGGAGGGCCTCCTCCTGCCTACTCGACCGAAGAGGGGAGATTGCGCATTAAAAGCAAAGACTCCATGCCTATCATATATGTATGCGATGCGAAGGACGCGGGGGC